ACTTACTTTACTTTCCTATCAAACATATTATCTTACTTACTTTACTTCTTATCAAACATATTATTATCTTACTTACTTTACTTTCCTATCAAACATATTATTATCTTACTTACTTTACTTTCCTATCAAACATATTATCTTACTTACTTTACTTCTTATCAAACATATAAATATATCGTCTTTATCTCTCCTTTTTATGCATGTCACTCTCTCGTAACACCTTTCTTCGTTGGCCGTTATATTACTGAATACTTATGTTGCAAGCGCCGTAAAACTCTTACTAAAACCAGACTGGTCTCTCCCTCTAGAGTGTCTAAGAAATGTAGAAGCAGTGAGTTTGTGGAGGCCGATGCCTCGCTGTGAACAGTGCCAATTTAAACAGTAGCCTGTATTTGAACACTTTGGACATGGATTTCGAAATGTTACCGTGCCAATTATTGGAGAATGGTGCCTTGCAGTACCCTACCCTGTGTTTAGGCTAGTATTCTATGTTGTAACCACAATGTGGGTAATTTCAGGTCGTGGCAGTAGCCTGTATTTGGACAATTTAAATATGTAAATGTATGCTGAAATGTGACCACGTCAATTAAAGAATGGTGCCTAACAGTAGTCTGAATTGGGACAATTTGAACATAACCTATTCCGAAAAGGTACCCTGCCAATTGGAGAATGGTGCCTAGTGTTTGGACAATTTGAACATGATGTATGTGTCCGTGTTTCGAAATGTTACGGTGCCAGTTGGAGAACAGTGTCTAGCAGTATTCTGAATTTGGACATATCACCACGCCAATTGGGGAATGGTGCCTTTCAGTTTCTGGTACGTGGACAAGTATTCTGTGCTGTTACCTCTTCCTGGATAATGCCAGGCAATTGCAAACTACTGCGCATTGTTAAAATCGGAGGATGGTACATAATCATAAAATCAAGTGCTTAGCAGTGGCAGTATCCTGTTAGTGGACAAGTACTCTACACACATGGCATTTACATATGTGTGATGCTAGTGCCATAAAAAGAAAAACAAACCCCTATACGCACGCAAGCACTCACGCGAACACTTCACCCTTGTCCGAGTGAGCATAAAAGTCGATCCAGACCACAGAGACCGCGCAAACTCTTGCCTCCCTCCTCTCATTCCCCCTCTCCTCACCCTCTCCTCATCCCCCTCTCCTTCCCCTCCAACTCTCCCTTCCACTCTCTTCCCCTCCCACTCCCACTCTCCCTTCCCCTCTCCTCCCCACTCTCTGCCTTCCCCTTCCTCCCTCCCGATATCTCCCCCACCCTCCTCCCTATCTCTCCCCATTCTCCCTCCCCCTTCACCCCCCTCTCCCTCCCCCTCTCCCCACGTGTGCCAATGCCAGACGTAGAAGGGTCAGAATGCCGCGTACCCGGATCATACGGCGATCCCGGCCGGCGCCGGCGTATGGTGCTACTGCTGCTGCTACTGCTGCCGAACTCTTCGGCGGGGACCAGGGAAAGGACTCTTCTACCTCAGCAGCACTGTCGTCATTCACCCTCGCGTTATCATCGACATCGAAATCAACGGCGCCATCATCAGGGTCATTCACGTCGTTCCAAAGCAGCAGGCAACGTCCTTCGCGGGGAGGAAAAGGAGTGTCTTACAACAACAAGAGCAACAACAGCGGCAGCAACAACAACAGCGACAGAAACAACAACAACAACAACAACAACAACAACAACAACAACAACAACAGCAACAACAACAACAGCAGCAGCAATAACAATTACAACAACTTCAGCAGCAACAATGGTTATTATAGTGTGGTTGTGCCAAAGTCGAAAGGTTTTGGAGTCGCGGAGGCCAGAGCTGTGCCTAAGACTCGTGACTCAGGGGTCGCGAAGGTCAGAGGTCAACTGGTGCGTGTGGGTACCTCAAAGGACAGCGTGTTGCCTGAGCGATGGTCGGAGGAAGGGGAGGAGGAGGATCGAGGTTCTGCTTCTTCCTGGCGACGTCACCACTACCAGCAGCAGCAGCAGCAAGACGTGTACTCTTGTGGGTGTGTTGGTCAAGGGTTGGATGATGGCGGTGATGAAAGGGGGTTTGATGGAGGGGTGGGGTCTGGTGGAAGAGGGTGGTCACGGGGGTCTGGTGGAAGAGGGTGGTCACGGGGGTCTGATGGAAGAGGGGAGTCTGATGGAAGAGGGGGGTCACGGGGGTCTCGTGGAGGAGGACGGGGGTCCAGTAGAGAAGAAGCAGGGTCTGATGAAAGGCGGGGCTGCTTGTCATGTGACACATGCGGGACTGTGTGGTCTCATGCCGCGCCACACGGCGTCTCTTACGTCAACGGGTCAGTTACGTCACCACCTGCCCGCTTGCGTCACGGCGGGGGTGATGGTGGTGGGGGCGTCGGGAGGCTTGGAGGGTGTGTAGAAGACGTGAGTGGTGGTGGTGGTGGTGAGGGTGGTAGCGACAGTGGTGGGGGTGTGCTTCTTGCTGCTCAAGTCGGGACTAAGATTAGCTCACAGCAATCTGTGCCCTGTAATACACGCCGTGTTGATGATACATGCACACACCTATCAAGTATAAACAATGTCGAAGACATCAGCTCGTGGCTATCTAGTACACATCGGGTCGATGACAGCAGCAGCACGCGGCTATCTGTGCCTCGTGTAAAACACTGTGCGGACAAAACCAGCAGCGGCACTCAGCTATCGAGTATAAACATTGTTAAAGACACCAGCATGCGATCGAGTACACACTATGTTGATGACACCAGCACGCGGCTATCTGTGCGGTGTAGTAAACACCGTGTTGATAAAACCAGCAGCTCACAGCTATCTAGTACACACGGTGTTGATCACAACAACACACAGCTATCTAGTGCCCACGGTGTTGATCGCAACAGCTCATGGTTGTCTACTACACACTGTGTTGATAACACCACCAACAGCACACAGCTATCTAGTACACACCGTGTTGATGACACCATTAGCACGCGGCTATCTAATTCTAATACACACTATTATGTCGATGAAACCATCATCAGCCCGGCGGGCGATAACCCCAAGACAAGATACGACGAGCGCAAGTCCCGCCGACCCCGACCCGCGCCTCGCACGTCCGCACTGTATGGGAACGCTACGACGAACGTTATTGCAGCAAAACCAGCAGCTAGATCTACCACCGCCACCACCACGGCCGCCTCAAGCCGTGATAACCGGGATAGCGAGGAGGGTGATAACGGGAGGAGAGCAGCAGCAGGCCCCTTCACGTCGGAGGCTGAGCAGAGGAACAAGTGTATCGATAGCGTTTACATTATAGGTAAGCCACCCACCAGCGAGCGGCCGGACAGTAATCACCATCGTCGTAGTCGTCGTGTGTCGGGCCCGTTGTCTGATGAGAACACAGCCTCGTCTGATTGGACCGTAGCGTCGTCTGATTGGGCAGATAGCGGCAACGGCGGTGGTTGCGGCGGTGATGGTGGTGCCCGTAGGAAGGTGAGACAGTCCGGGAGTTCGGGGATATTCGGCTTGTACTGTGCCCGGGTGTTGAGGGAAACGCAGAACCAGGACCAAGTGGTTCCCCGCGGCCGGACTCTGACGCGTCAT